TTTAGGACTTCATCGGACGAAAGTAATGTTTACGTCGATCTGACTGCACATGCGCACAAAGGAGAGACGACGATTAGAATTTTAAATTTAATCTTTTTTTTATGTGTGTTTTGGGTATGTAGTCTCGCTATTTCATTTAGTTTTTTTTTTCTTTCTGTTTACGGTTCGCTCACTGTTTTATTAAATATCCCACATTGTGGTAATAGAAGATCTGCTAAGATATGCGAGATGTTCTAAGAATCTGAATGTAAATTTACTGTGGATGATCTAACAATTAAAGCACTTTCTATAAATTTTCGTTTAGTAAACATCATTTCAATTTTCAAACATTTTCTTGGATTTCATTGGTTGTTAAATAAAAATAAACTTTGAGAAATTTCCATAAAAAAACAGTCAAAATTTGTGCAAAAATAGACTCAACATAAAAAAAAATCTTTCTCATATTCATCCCTAATTTAGATATTTCAAGAAATTCTATTGGCTAAAAAATAAAAAATACAACATTCGCCCACGCATTTCTCAGAAAAATTCGCAACAAGCTACCAAGCCTCTGGAGTCGATTTTGTTGTTAAAAAAACTATAAATAGAAACAGCAAACGAATTTTCGTCGCATTTTGAGATTAACACACGCAAAGATACACACGGGAATTATGTGTCAAAATTTCCGCCAAAGAAACAAACTTTCTTTATGAGAGATTGGAAAAATTCATACAACAAACTTTTTCACTTAATATCTTTCATAGAAAAATCTTTTGTCCAAGTTAAATTCAACCTTTCAATCAAAGGCAGACAACTTTCTAGACATTGAACATCTCCGAAACAGCAAAGAACTTTTTCTCTATACTTTTGCACACATCATTAAAAACAAAAAAAAATGTAAATTGTGTATATAAAATTTAATCTGTTGTTTCAAACATGTATTTTTGTCGTGATTGAATATCGTTACCATTTGGCCATTTCTTATAATTTATGTTTGTGGATATTGCATATTTTATTTGCAGCACAATCTTGAATATTCACGCATATTCCACTACATTCGTCTTAGTAAAATTGGTTTTTTTTCTCTTTTAATTAGAGTAGCATTTTCTAACTCAAAATTATGGCCAAACTCATAGCTAATTCGTTTAGTAAAAGATCCCTTTTGTATTCATATAATCTTTTTTTTAATTTCCTTGAGGTTTCTCCTATGTATTTGTTGTGGCAATTATTACAACTGATAGAATAAATTCGTCCCCCAAGCTTATTATTTTATTTTATATTAATTAAGTTTTTTTTTATTGTTTTAGAAGTAGTTTTAACAAATTTTATGTTAAGCTTAGATAAATTCTTTTCAATTGTAGTTGTGATAGAGTTGATGGGGGGGGGTGATAGTTTTCCCTAAAATTGTTCTTGGTTTATAAAAATTTATATACCGTTTTTCCACACTCAAGACAATATATATTCTTCTTCTACGAGCCGTGTCCATTCAGGACGTGGACGATCATGGCTCTCAGCTTTCATTTCTTTGTCTCAATAAGGTTTTCACCATCTCCGCCCCACCCCCCGTACTGTCATTAATTTACTCGGGTCTGTTAGGTAGGTTACTCGATGTTTTCTCTGCTCCTCTTGCCACCAATAAGTCTTGAACTGCTGTTTAGTATCTATCTTCCCATATGAATGCTTGGCAATTTCCTCACAAATTAAGAGAAAACTTAGGGTAATAGAGATGTTGTTCTATCGAAGAATACTGTGGATACTATGGACAGAGCATGTGAGCAACAACAACGTTTTAATAAAAAAAGGACATTTAGGATAAGTCTACATTCATCAGAAAGAGACAGTTGAAATTTCTAGGGCACATAATGAGGAAAGAGGATTTGAAAAATTTTATACTCACAGGACAGATAGAGAAAAAGAGAGAAAGAGTGAGCAAGATATCTAATGAGCTTTTATAAATGGATGACAGAACAGGGTGTGGGAAGGATAATAAGAAAAATGCAACACTGTAATCTGAAATTGAATTGGGATAGCGAAAATGCCTTCAAAAGCTAAGCAAAATATTAAGAAATAGAAAAATCTTGTTAGAAACAAAGAAAAGAGTACTGAAATGTTATATATCAGTCCCCCTTTTATGGCAGTGAACGCTGGACAATTCCCTCAAAGATGAAGAAGATACTTAAAACAACAGAAATATGATTCTATAGAAGAAGGCAGAGAATACCATAGACTAAACAACGACAAAGTTTTAGAGAAAATGGAAACAAAATGGTTACTTATACTTAGAATCAGAAAGAGATAGTTAAAATTTCTAGGGCATATTATGAGGAAAGAGGGTTTGGAAAATTTGATACCAAGAAGTTTTAAGTAAAATGGAAACAAAAAGAACACTTCTACTTACAATAAAAACGAGAAAGTTGAAAATTCTGTGACATATAAGCAAAGATGGCGTGGATAATTTTAACTCACGAGGCACATATCGAATGCAAGAAAACATTGTATATCTTACCTAACGAGCCTGTGTAACTGGATGGCAGAAAAGTTACTAGGGATGTGTTGTAACTGAGTTATCAAAAACAACAGTAGAAGACCGGAATTGGTTTAACAAGTTTATTACCTTTTGGTACAGGGAATCATAATCTAGAATAGAACTAGGGAAGAGAATGGTTAGTAGTAAATGAACAACAATTTTCAGCAAAGGCTGCTGCGGCTGCTGCTCCTCCTGCTACTTCTCTTGATGTAGGAGTATTTTTATGTCTTTTGTCCGACGACTGAGTCCAAACTTATAGGGAAATATTCTCCCTCACAACAGAATTATATTTTAAAATCGCAAGCATTTTTAAGAGATAGAAATTACAGTTAGTTGTGGAGAGTCATGATCGCCCACGTCCTGAAGGGGCACTGCAAATAAAAGAAGAAATCGTCTATTTTGTCTTTCTGTGATACAGTATAATTGCACAAGTATTTGTAATTGTTATTTACTGATTTAATAAAGGAAGGCCAACACAAGAAACAAAGAAAGTGACTACTGTTGTCGCTCAACAATCTTTTGTTTTGGAAATAACAGGGTATAGAGTGATTCATTCACTAGATAATCATTGGCTGTCTATTACTGTCTTTGTTGTTGGCTCAAGTGCAAATATATGTCTACCTTTGATAGATAGTTACGAACCGATGGAAAGTTACTACGCAGCCATATTTAAACGGGAACGTCTGAAATTAGTAAAAGCCTGTCACACGTGACTTGCCAATGTTGTGTTCGTATACTGGTTAAATTTTGCTTAACCGGGACCGAAAGAAAATTTGCGCCTTAAAATATCAATTTATTTACTCGTAAAGTTTATTCTTTCAATAGAGTTCCATTTATGATTCCATAAGTCCATTCAGTTCTTGCATATTGACAACCACTTTTTCAAAAATTTCAAAGCCTATCTGTAGTAAAGTAATTCACAACACGTTTACATTTCTTTAGTGGCATATCGACATCTCTATGGGTTATGTAATACCGAAATCTAAATAATTTGAACTTTTATGGCTTCAAATAAATATATTTTGAATGTACTTGCATGCCTTCAAATACAGATGAAATATAATGTGAGTCATTTTGTTATAAAATTATATTGTTGGTCATTTTGCTATAAAATTGTATTGCTGACCATTTTGCTATAAAATTGTATTGCTGGCCATTTTGCTGTAAAATTTGTATTGCTGGCCATTTTGCTATAAAAATGTATTGTTGGTCATTTTGCTATAAAATTGTATTGCTGACCATTTTGCTATAAAATTGTATTGCTGGCCATTTTGCTGTAAAATTTGTATTGCTGGCCATTTTGCTATAAAAATGTATTGTTGGTCATTTTGCTATAAAATTGTATTGCTGACCATTTTGCTATAAAATTGTATTGCTGGCCATTTTGCTGTAAAATTTGTATTGCTGGCCATTTTGCTATAAAAATGTATTGTTGGTCATTTTGCTATAAAATTGTATTGCTGGCCATTTTCTATAAAATTGTATTGCTGGCCATTTTTCTATTATATTATGTTGCTGGCCATTTTGCTATAAAATTGTATTGCTGGCCATTTTGCTATAAAATTGTATTGCTGGCCATTTTGCTATAAAATTGTATTGCTGGCCATTTTGCTATAAAACTTGTATTGTTGGTATTTTGTATAAAAATGTGTTCCTACATATTACTGTAAATTTTTTGTTTTGTTTTTTTGTTTGTTTTTTTTTTTTTTTTTAGGAATCGCTATTTGCCCACAGCTGGGATCCTAACAGGTGCTACAACCCTGTATCAAGGTGAACCTGGGAACAAATGCAATTAAGAAGTGGTTCCCCCTCTCAAAACCTCCACTCTCCCAATCTTACTGCCTGATGTTGTTTATCGCCAATCTCAGGAGTTACTTGTTTACATCTTAATGGGCACTTCGACGTGCTGTAATGATTAACAAGCTTGTCTCGCTCGATCAATTACAACTGGACAGTGAGTTCGATCCTCACTGTGTTCCCCATGCTTTCGGCTTTTGCCATACTTAAGCTACACTTAACATTTTTCTATGATATTAAATGATACAAATTCCTCGGTGTATGGATCAGTTACAATAAATTTAGTATAAGAGATAAAAAAAAAAATTGAACATAAGATACGCTGTGTTTGAGGTAGTTTCCCACAACGCCGTATATTGCTACAAAAGCAAAACATCAACCTGAAAATTCGAGTCCTTAAATAGCCACATCAGATCTAGAGTTTCATATGGATGTCATGAAGGCGTCAAATACGTTCAGAAATATCTAAACTGTCAGCTGTATACAGCCGCTTTCTCAGATCAGTGGTTAAAAATGTCTTCAAACAAATGAAGCATTTACGTCTTAGCGACGACAATAAAATAAATATTTAATAAAGTTCAAACGACACCAACACTAGCTGTTCGGTCAATAAATGCCGGATGATTCCTTATAAGGAAAAGGCTAATATTACCATTATCTTTACAGAGATTTCTAGTGTACATTCTACAGATGTCAATTTTATTCCGATTTCTAACTTCTGGTAACCGACTGGTTTTGGTTACAATAGTTGAAGAGTGGTCATAACCGTCGGTCTACATCAGCAGTCCTTTAAAGGTTACCCATTGTTGGTATAAAATATGCCCACAAGGCAAAGAATATCCCTACTTTTTTTTCCATATGATAAGACGTATATTATTGTAGGGATGGATTGAATCATTTTCTTAGTGAGTAAATTACTTGGCCTAACTTCTGGATGCCTATTGATTTTGCTTAAAATGATTGAAGAGTGATTATTTTGGGATTCAACGCTTGTTTACAGTGTAATTTCGATGATTAAAAATGGTTTTGAATCCAGTGGATCTTGGCAAAGACCATCCCACTTCGAACATTACGGACTTCCGCTACAGAATCACAAAAAAAAGAACTGTACCAAAATAGCAAAAGCCACACCACTCGATTTCAACAGCAACAACAACTAAAATGGTTATGTAACTCAAAGAGAAAACAATGACATAATGAAGATGTTGACGTTGTACACTACTTCAAACAAAAGGTTCGGAAGGAAACCCTTATCAATAGATGAACGAAAGCTTCTGGATTTGAGAAATCTATTTTCTTGAATTGTTTCAAAGAGAAATATTTAATAAATTCCAACCGATAGTAGCACTGGCTGTTCGTCAATAAATGCTGAATGTTTCCTTATAAGGAAACGGTTAATATTTCCATTATCCTTACCATGTGATACACTAAAAACATCAACCTGAAAACTCGAGTCCTTAAATATCCACATCAGATCTAGACTTTCATATGGATGTCATGAAGGCGTCAACTACGTTCAGAAATATCTAAACTGTCAGTTGTATACAACCGCTTTCTCAGGTCAGTGGTTAAAATACCTTTAAACGAATGAAGCATTTACGTCTTAGCGACGACAATTCTTGAGGACTTACAGCAACAACTAAAATGGATAGCAAAAGAGAAAATAATGACATAATCAAGATGTTACCATTCTACACTACTTCAAACAAAAGGTTAGGAAGGAAACCCTATTGGATTTGAGAAATCTATTTTCCTGAAAAATCCTTTCAAGAGAAATATTTAATAAAGTTCAAACGCCAGCAACACTAGCTGTTCGATCAATAAATGCCGGATGTTTCCTTATAAGGAAAAGGTTAATATTTCCATGACCATTACCATGTGTGACACCATTTTTATTTCTATATATATTTTTATAATGCTCGTGGCTTCCAAAGTGTAAGTGAGATATCTAAATTCAGATCCATTTTACTGGCAATGTCACGTGGTCGTACCTTCGTTATGACAATGGCAAAGCGTTCCAAGCTAAATACGAAACCGGAAGGTGGGAATAGCCCGAATTCGTGAAAGAGCCGAGTACAACAATAATAAAAGAGAAATGTATTTAAAGATTTACATAGGAAAACCTTTTTGGTCCGTCCTGGGTATGACGATAAACTATAACCGACGATAGACCTTTGATCAGGAGGTTTTGAGGAGCGTGGAACCACCTCTTAATTGTTGGTGTTCCCAGGTCCTCCCTGATCCAGAGTGGTAGCACCTGTCAGAGTCACAGCTATGGACAAATAGTTAACCCCCACCCAAAAAAAAAGTGGAGGGATCAAAACACTATGAAAGTATAAAGATAGGTTTTATTACCAGCAATAAAAATGTTGTCGGCATTAAATAACACATTGAGGTCGATATGCTGTAAAAAAAAAAAAAAAAATTAGCTGTGTAAGTAATCAAGAGCTAATATAAAATTCAACTGTTCATAAAATGGGAGAACGGTTTTCAGTTTCTTATTAAGTACTAAACTCAGAGAAAGAAACTGTTACTCTGTTCAACTATATATTTATGTATGTGTGTGAGCGTATGTATGTGTTGTGTGCGTGCGTACATATATATACATATATATATATATATATATATATATATATTTTAAATTACGATAAAGGTGCAATCAATTTGCAAATACATGAATTATTCACAAAAACTAATGCAAAGGTTAATGATTTAAATGGCGAGACATCCATCATCGCAAACAATTCAAATAATATACAAAAACCTCCGTATCCGTTATGTAGGAACAGACGAAAGCTTGTAGTAAAATAAGAACTAATACGGCAGAAATTTATATAAACAAGGATCATTTCATTCATAACGGATACGGAGGTTTTTGTATATTATTTGAATTGTTTGCGATGATGGATGTCTCGCCATTTAAATCATTAACCTTTTGCATTAGTTTTTTGTGAATAATTCATGTATATATATATATATATATATATATATATATATATATATATATATATGAGTATATACATATACGCATACACGTATACACACATAGATAGATAGATAGATAGATAGATAGATAGATAGATAGATAGATAGATAGATAGATAGATAGAAATTTAATTATAAATTCAATCTTTGGCAAATAATAATATTGGCCAAAAGAAAGATTAAATTAAAAGAGTACTCAATACAACTTCCATAAAACGAAAATGTAGGCCAAGTTAAAATATAAACTATCCGAAACGCTGACCTTCCTGAAACCACGGTTTCCGCCATGATGTCTTCGTCAGACCACAAGTCTTGTATATATATATATATATATATATCCGAGTATAGGATTGGTGTATACGGAATAAATTCCAATAACCAACAAATACGATTATATTTGCTCTACTCTGTATTGAGCACTCTTTTGAGTGCTCAATACAGAGTAGAGCAAATATAATCATTTATTCGAAAAATATAACATAAAAATGTTATAAAATCACTAAAAAATAGCCATTTTCTTTCAACACTTCTGGTGTCTTATCAAGTGACGATGTTGAATGTAGAATAAAGAGTTTTAAAAGGTTCAAATCAATCAAACACCCCTCGCTAGGGGAAACCCTGTTACATAAGCTGGAATGACCTTAATGTTAATATTTATTAGTTAGAATGAATTCTATTTTAGTCCTACCCTAACATTAAAGCATTAAATAATTATCATAACCAAAGTTCGTTGACAATTTTTTTGAATTCTCATATACTGGTATTTTGATTAATCATTTATTTATTAATTTATAATAATTATGCCCTGTAAATTTACATTGACCACTGTTTTCTAAAAATAAAAATATCAATAAGAACACCGGATTATATATCTTACTGTCCTTTTTTTTATTTATAATATATATATATATATATATATATATATATATATATAATTAGTATGATTATATCTAGTGATTTTCCGAATGTGGCTTAGATGTAGCACAAGACCTCAATTATTGTGCACCCACCGAGGACCGAACTCACTAATCTGTCTTAATTGTCCTAGCGAGACAGGCTTGCTATCATTACACCACCTCGAGTTGGCTAAGTATGTATATATCTATATATACGTATATAAAGTTATTTGTTTTCTACATTCATGTGGAATATTGTGTTTCGTTGTGTGTCTGAATTATGTGATAATCGTATGTGTCAGTATGTGTCTGTGGTTATGTATGTGTGTGTCTGATTTTCTGTATGTCTGTGTGTTTCTTTTTCAGGATTTAAATCAATAGTTATGAGTTTAATAACAAACATATATATATATATATATATATATATATATATATATACGCATATATATTATTCATATGTAAAAAGTAGACATTGAAACATATATATGTGTGTCTGTATGTGTGTGTATGTCTGTGTATGTTTATGTGCGTATAATCAAATTTCATATGCCTAAATTCCAGAGCACACACACACACGCATACACATACATGTACATATTGTGCGTAAGTAAAAAATATCTCGCACTCTCTCTCTCTCTCTCTCTCTCTCTCTCTCTCTCTCTCTCTCTCTGTATATAGATAGATAGATAGATAGACAGATAGATGTACATAGGTATGAAGGTATGTGAGATTGTTACAGCTGTCTTCATATCAAAAGCATCAAATCGGCGCTCATATCTACGATGTCTATAGCCACTGTGGTATGCAACCTTCAACACAGCTGTCAAAATAAAAACTCCAGTCAAATCGTCAGGGTGGCATGTTCCTTCATGTTTGCATAAACCTACAAATACATGCGGATATACTTGCATTGATCTGTAGGTGTGTATGTCTCTAGATCTGTGTACGTAAACATATATTTGCATATAGTGAAATTACAATTCTCAGAACGTAACTCCCTATTTGAATGTTGTTTTTCCCCCGTAAAACTCGATTTGATATTAATATATATATATATATATATATATATATATATATATATATATATATATATATATATATATATATATATATATATATATATATATATATATATATATATATATATATATATATATATATATATATATATATATATTTTTGTATAGCTGTATACACTTCGTGGTTAAGGCTGTGGCGTATTTACTGCAATTGGGAGTGGGCGGGTTTCGAGCCTACATAAGCGCATATTTAAGATACATTATCTTTAAAAGAAGATGTACAATATTTCTCGTCTAATCTGGGCTTGTGCGATGGATACGGAGTTAGCCTTATTTACATTCGGACTAATTTTCTCATTATTGTTATTATTACAACTTTCAGGGCGCTATGTCCTTGGGCCTTTTATAGGTGGGGGGGGCTGTCCATACGGGTTACTGTTATATAGGAATAAAATGTCGCTGCCGAGTCTGAACATAGATCACCAGTGAGCAAACACAGGCGATCCAATTATTGAACTAAGTAGACCACGTGACCATAGAGGAAACGCTTATATAGGAAGTCGCATGACTTCTAGTTTGATCTGCATTTCTACTCTATCCTCTATGATATATGGACCGCTATTCTCTACTCTATTCACTATACTATTTCTCTATTCGGATCACTATACGGATTACTATTCGAGCGAGTATTATCGAGTAAGTACCATTAGTACGGGTGATATTCGAAGGCGTCTGACACTAATATTGTTCAACGGCGTTACTATAGTTGTATCTGCGATTACAAAGTCTCTACTACAACGAGCATTACGAAAGTCACAACGAGTATTCGTTGACATTACAAAAGTGACAAACGAGTGTTCGTTGACATCACGAAAGTTACCTTCGGGAATTTTGAACTAAAGCCACGACCATAGCCTAATGAATTAAAACGTTGATTTGTGAATCAGTTGACCTGAAATATCTGTCTATATTTCTGAGATAAGGTATTATAATTACTTACATTGTTCGGACTGTTGTCCTTATCTTTACTGACATATTCACGACGTTTCGGCCGTTGTACGCTCCGGCCTTCTTCAGGTGATTGGAATTTCGAACTGAACCTTTTATTTCATCATTATTTCGTGCCATACCTTTTCCGGATGTCTCAGTTATCTCCCTTTAACTCAACTCTCCGAGTTTTTGTTAACCACTGCAGTAGCCAGATATTGAACTCACAACTCTTTGGGTCAAGTCACTGGATCAAATCACCTGAAGACGGCCGGAGTAAATAATATAAATAGGAGACCTGAATTCAATCCCTAAGACAGTATAGATTAGGACTCGAGGAATCAGGTTTAGCAATAACTGAACAATGGTAAATTAGAAGAAGACTAGACCTCTCGCCTGTGGAACTCCTTCCCCTTTTCTTGTTTCCCTGATAGCCATAATCTCCAACTATTCAAATGCAATGTCAATCGACATCTCCAGTTGCCTTGATCTATCCAATACCCTTCTCCTCATTCTTTCCTCTATCACTCCTATTTGCTCTTGCTCCAACTCTCTGTAACCCCTTGCGTGCTAGTGGCTTCCCGCCTTGCTTGGGGTGAAACGCTTAAAAAAATCCCTAGACAGGAACAGCGGAAGGAGAAGAATGTACACTTGTAAATTAAATACGAACCGGCTAAGAAGATGAATGAATAATTTTCGCAACAGAAGAACTTTGAAAAATTATAAAAGAAACAGAAAAAATATATAGTAAAATCAATTTTTAGGTTAACAACACGGGAAAAAGAGAAAAAGTCGATAAAAACAATCTGAGAAATATTTTTAACAAAGGACGGAAATTGTGATATCGAAATCCGAAGGCGCGTTTGGATTTTGAATGATGCCTTCCAAAAGCTAAGCAAAGTATTATGAAACAGGAAAATTTCGTTAGAAACAAAGAAAATAGTTCCATAATATTAGTTTTCCTATATGAAAGATTGATATTACAGTACTATATAGCCTATATGGCTGTGAATGCTGGCCAATCTCCTTAGATGAAGGATAGAAGTGATATGTTTCTACAGAATCACGCGATTCTTCTATAGGATGCTGAGAATCACCATCACAAATCCCATGATCCATCAGGTTCATAGAGGTACCACATGTACGTTAGAAGTGGTATTACTTGGGCAAGATAGCCTGGTAGAGCCCAACCATCTCCAGGACTGTTTTGAATTCAGACTTTCTTTCTCCCCAAGGCTATAGAACCCAGTCTGCCCTGCTATTTACTCACAGCTAGGATGGGGAGTAGAGGTTTCATGCCTTATCCAGGGAAGTGAATGTAATGGATCCGAATGGAATACCATGGACTGAACGACAACTTATTAGAGAAAATGGAAACAAAAAGGACACTTAAGATAAATGTCCTTTCATCAGTAATAGACAGTTGACATTTCTAGGGCACATAATGAGGAAAGAGGGCTTGGAATATTTGACACTCATAGGACCGATGGAAAGCAGGAGAGACGGAGAAAATACTGCGTAACCGATCTAACGAGCTTGCGTAAATGGTTGGCAGAACAGGCTTTAGCAGAGTTAGCAAAAAGAACTACAATGGACAAGAAATTATGGAGAATTATGATCGCTCACATCCTGAACGGACATGGGACAGAGAAGAAGAAGAAGAAGAAGAAGAAGAAGAAGAAGAAGAATGCCGTTTCTCATAAGAATATTATCATTTTTACAGTTGTTTACTAGTTTGGCTCAAGGCCACAAAAAATGAGCACTGGATAGGGATCATACTAACAATGTCACACTGGTCTGCGAGATGAACTTGTTAAAAGCCGCGTTACGGTAGGCGCCCTACTTAATTACTCTCTATTGCTTATCATGGCACTAGAGTATAACAATGGCTTATTCAATGAAGACCGATCATAGTAAACAAATTTGTATATATTCAAATATGCCAAATATCGTACTCGTTTTAAGTAAACTATTTATTAAGCTTAGCTCAGTCTGGTTCAAGGCTGTTGCAGTGAGGTACCCAGGATCGAACATATTATAAACGAATTGGCTAGCACTACAGTAGGCGCCTCGATAGCATTTCTATAAAATAGCCTCAAGGCACTTCATTTCATTATCATTCTAATAGAAATACACAGCAACGAGCAACGTGACTAGGTTGCGAGATTTGTTCGAAAATCCCTTTCTTCTTTCCTTCCCGAATTTCCTTCCTTTTTTTTTTTTACATTCGTTCGTTTTTTTCTCTTTCTCTTCTCTACTTTTCTACGTTATGTTTTCTCATAATATTTTCTCTTAACGTGTTTTCTTTCT